CACACACACACACACACACACACACACACACACACACACACACACACTGCTGAGTCACCTGTCCGCCTCGTAACCTCTCATTCCTATGAGTTTTTAAAGCAGACAGAAAGAGTTGCAGGTTACCTTTTATTATCGCCCGATGCCAAAGCCGAAAGGGCCTGTGTGCGTTGTGCATGCATTTGTTTGTCTATGTTCGCAAAACATCTCATGAAGCACTGGATCGATGTTCATTCATTCATTCGACCTTTATTTATACAAGTTAGTCAATGAAGCTCACAGAAAGTAACTGTGACATCTGCAACTGTTTACATTTAGGAGTCAGCCTGATTCAAGATGGCCACCATAGCTAAGCTTCCTTAGCAAACAAATAAATGGCTGTAACTCCGTTTTACAGATATTAAGGTAGAATTTGGTGTCATACCTTAGTCATTTACACCTGCTCCAGTGTAAGATCACAAGAAGGATCATATTACTGCATACAATTTCACATAATGTTATTTTTAATGCTTGACCAAAACAGCTATAACTTTTGTCTTTTCTCAGCATGAAACAATTTTATTTTCTGGCATAAAAAGCCTTTACAATTCATAGAATTTTTGATCTGATCAATGACTTTATTACTGTTATTTGTCTTGGAGGACACATTTACAGTTATAGAGGCATGCTACAAATTTATACCCAACTTTTGCATAGTTTGGGGGTCACATGTCATATAGTCTTTAAAAAAGTTTTAGTCTTAGTTTTGTTTGAATCTGAACGAGGGATGCTTGATTTTTGTTGTGCTTTGAATCCCATAAAGAAATTTAATGTGTCTCTTGCAAAAAAAAACAAATTGTATAGATGGAGATTTTTTTTTTATGAAACATTTCAAAATCCATTTGTTTAGAACAAACAAACACACATGCTGTTATGTCAGTCTAATGTATAAATTGATTTTAAAAAGTCTGCTCTTTAAAGCTTTTGTCATTTCATTTTCCTTTACATATGGCATGTTGCATAAATAACTCATTTTCTTTCTTGTATGCAATCCTTATTTTTTAATGTATACATTTATTTTATGAGTTGAAACATCTTGTACCAGCTACAAGATGTTTGCCTTTGCAGAAAAAGACAAAACAGAGGTAGAGGAGTTCAATATAGAGCAAAATAGATGTAATGTAGTGTCAAAATTGTCCTGTTTAATTTCCTCATCTTGTACATACTGATACTAAATATAACGTATTACTCATCAACAACAATTTACACAATATTTAACCTGACTTGACAGCTTAGACTGAAACCTGCTCCACTATTCCTCCCGAGGTCCCCCTAGAAACTAAAATCTTATATCTTTCAGGGATCTCAGACCCTCAGCTGTATTATCTTGTCCTTCATTTTATCCTCCTTGTCTGGCTTCTTGGCTCATTTCTGTTGGCGGCGGGAACGTTTGTCCCAGCGTGCAGCTCAGCAGCACGGTGCAGTGTGCTCAGTGCAGGCTCAAGTCACCACCACATGTTGTGAACCATTTGAGATGATCCTTTCTGGAGAACAGCTGTAAAGATGTTTTATTCTGAAAGGCAAAAAATAAATAAAAATCTGATTTTAACAGATAGTTCAAAGCTTTTTAAATGGGATTCAGTGGAAATTTTTATGAACAATTAATAGTTTGACCTCTTGTACAGGTACATCTCCAAAAATTTGACTATCATGAAAGATTTCAATTAATTTTGTCAGTCATTTCAGAAAGTGAAATCAAACTAAATCAGCACCATCAAATCAAAGACACAAAGAAATACAGAACATTGTGAAATCAGAAGCTCTGTTGTTGAAACTGTAAAACACAGCAAGACCACTGGACCAAGATTCAAGTCTATACGGTCCATTTCCCACCACAAAAGTTAACACATACCGTCCACCTAATCTAGTTGCTGAGTTTAGTACTCTCTCCTAACATACAGTATGTGTGCTTGGTGACTTTAACATTCTTATTGACAACTCTAATAACCCACTAACTAAGCACTTCTTATCTTGTTTGGACAGTTTGGGGTTTCAAGAGCTTATTAATTTCCCCACCATTCCACCAGACTTGTTCTTTACCTCATCTCTTATTCTAGCATCATCCTTCAAAACTGTTCAACAACTGATCAACCTATCTCTGACCATCTCTTTTAACATCACATTCTCACTATCTAAAGCTAAACCATCGTGTGTCATATTTTTTTAAATATCAAGAACATTAGCATGGGCACAATAAATACTGGTAATGAAAATCTCCCCAGCACTGGCCCCAGTAAAAACACAGACTGTCTCCTTCACCCACCTTGCACCCTGGTTCACACTGGAGCGTTGCTATTTGAAGGCCAAAGGATGACAACTTGAACGTCTACAAGAAAACAGGACTCACAGTATACAAATACTGTACATGTACTTAGCCCATATTCTCCACTACAAGAATGCCCTCTCCCCTGACAAATCACAATATTACACAAATATCATTAGAACTGGTGACAGAAATGCACTTTTCTCTCTGGCAACCAAAACACTATGCACCACCGGACTTTTTGACCCCTCATATCTACTCTGTCTATAACGGTAACTCTATTATGGCATTTTTCAATAACAAGATCAACAACATCCTCCAGCATATACACAGTCACTCTGTATGCAACTTGCTCATCTCTGTCTCTCTACCCCCACCCCCCACTCCACCCTTCATTCTCAAGCTTCACATTTCCTTCACATGCTCAAGGATCCCAC